TGGATTTCGTGTAAGATGGCGCTGTTAGCGTGTAGCTAAAGTCTGTATACAGTGTGGACGTTTAGGTAACGCAGTGACCTATTAACGAAGAATAGCAACCTGTAATATACTTACATCAATTTATCACATGGATATTATCGCCAAAAAGACTGACCTTGTTCTTAGAGATAAAGGTGGTGTTTTGTTTGTTATCGTATTAGATACGTCCTACATTATGCTATAAACAGGATTGTAATTTATTCCACATACCATTTATTCTTGCTCTGTCAAATTTTCAGGTATACAATACATCACCTGTTATTGGCTTTGTGTTTGAATTATGATCTATTTTGGGATTCTTATCAATATACTTGATTTATAGTGTGTATAATCAATGTCAATACTTATATACATAATATATTGGTCAACTTTTAATGCTCTGGTTTTATCAAGGTCCTTGGGTTTTATAGAAATATTTTATTATTAACGACCCTCGCGATCGTTTATAATTTTGTATTGCTGTCCGTCTGTCTGTCCCTGTGCACGATAACTTTGTGTAGAAACGTCCGATCGCTTTGAAAATAGGCACACATGTTCTTCAGGATATAAGAAAGGTCCCTATTGTTTTTCGGCTATGTAGACTAACGGGCCAAAAAGTTACAACCCAAAAACTGCCCAAACCTACAAAAAAGGGTTCTGTTATAATTCTTGTTACAAAGAACATATGAATATCCGGTTTTCTGTATTAGTAGATGAATTTTTAAAAAATTGCGCATGTGCAACCCAACTGTTGTATTGGAGCAATCCCAATTTTTTTATTTGTTATATTTAAATGAAATTTTGTATGTATATGCACCTCCCACCTCGTATAAAAGTAAAAGTAATGCTACAAAAATTTGTTTTACAAGCTATGCTGATCTGGTGGAACAGAATCAATCCCTGCGTTGTAAAAAAGATGCATGCGCGAAGATCTCGAGAATCGTTCGGTATTCAGTTGTATCGGATTTTTTGGTGTAATATTGAGGCTAGAGTGGGGCTCTGATATGTACCACAATAGCGATAATCGGATCTCATAAAACACTTATGTTTTTTACCTCTTAATAATGCCACAGATAAAATGTCAATCCCCTAAGAACTTGATTAAGGGTGGTGAATGGGGGTGGGGCTGGAAACAAGTTTTTAATTAAAAAAAGGGACATTTTTTAAATTGCAACCAGTACTTGCACGACGCAGATAAAATGTGTCGCTTTGGACATCCTACACCCCCGAACGGTACCAAATTTGCGTTTCTAGTTACATTTTCTTCTTATGAACACAACAAGTAAGACTATCTGGGATTTTGGATGTATTCTTTCTAATTTTGTATTTCCAAAGATGCACCCTTAAACGGGCGTGTAAAAAGTCTGGTCCCCACAAAATTTTATATTTGGAACTGCAATTGCGGACAGTTTCTTCGTGAAAATTATGCGCACTTCATCGTTGAAATAACCTAAACATATTGCACCAAATGTTCGTCTTACAAAAAAGTGGTGCGCATAGCGAATATGGCAGAGGTCAGTTCTAGCGCATTTTCCAATACATGTTGAAAGACGCTATTATTGCCACTTTCTCCGTCCGTCCACTCGAAGCTGCATCTACTTTTACAGTTTTCAAGAGTTCGTCCTGTTTGTATTCGGTAGCTTAGGGTATAGTAACAACCAAGAACCAAGAAAATTTACACCAATTGCTCGCTCCTGCGCCTGACCAGCGGCTGGTAAAGTTAAAACCAGTTACGTAGGTATTATTATTCATCATCCTTTATATCTCTTTTCTTATTAGAAACAATACCTACTAACCTGGTACCTACCTACATTTAAAACATAATATGCCATGGCCTGCGCGTACAGAAGACAACTAGTAGAATCGTTACCAAAAATATGTTTTCCGCTTGGCGACATATCGCATATATGGTAAAAACCAGATGTGCGCATACGCATACTGCGAAATGTGCCAACTTTATAGTCATTCCTTTGAAATTAGTAAAGAAAAACAAGGCATATAGTAAAAATTAACTGTGTCATGCGGAAGCTGAGCGATATCATCTTTCTTAATCGGCTATTTTTTTGAAATTTTAACCACATGTGCTTCTAGTAAAGGCAAACTTATCGCAGCATTTACCTATACTACCGGCATATCTGCACATGCGTGATTCTACCCAAAAGCTTTTCTGCTCTTTCGTTTAGGTTAGTCTAAACATATATGTACCAAATTTGGTTCCAATCGGTTCAGTCGTTTACTTGAAAATGAGACTACCGACAGACAGACAGATAGAGATATCCAGATTTTGTTTGATTCGGCTTCGTGGTGCTTCAAAACGTGTATTTTTTTATTATTTATGCTTCTCAGGTATAACTATTGAGAAAGGTACCTACACCATATGCTGACCAATATATATTATAAGTCTTAAACCAAATGTCATTTATAGCGCAATGCGCAACGGATGTTGTATTGAGAACCGCTGACTCCGTACGGCTGGTTTTGAGAAACTTTCACTCGTAGGGAACGGGTTTTTACATTGCATTTCAGGTGCATATTATTAAATACAACTATCGGTCGCGTTATAAATGACGTTTCATTTACGATTTAATAATTTATGTTACATTGCTGCGCATATGGACTATAGTTTACTGACGATATGTACTATATCTTGTCATAGAGTAGTATACTTTAAGTTGTGCTGCGTAAGGCGGACGTGAGATTACAAATTGTGCTGCGTAAAACTGGCTACGTAAATACTTGTACACGTGCTGCCATCCAGTGATGTATAACTTCATTTATTGGGTAACAAAACAACCTTAAGCGTAAGGGAAAGAGCTCCCAAATATTTTTGAAGACGGGCCCTTAAAATAAAATGAAGTACACCTGATGGTGTTCCTATAGCTGATCTGATAAGAGGTCTTCTTTCCATTGCATAACAACATCCATCGCGTTTCTTGGTTCAGCACACCCTCTGCGGGATTATAACCAAAACGTTTTGCCAATACTAACAGTGTTGCCGAACCGAATTTATTAAGCTTTGTTTTGGTCGTTTAATATTTGCATGATCCTAGGTTTGGCTGTTTGGAGACGACCAAAACTCGGAATTAAATTACAATTCGTGCTTTGGTCATTTTAAATAGTCCAATCCTAAGATTGGGGAAAACGACCATTGGCCGTTTTCGGACTTTGCGCCCAACATATACAGGGTGATTCCTATAGTACCTGCCACCGTTTGGGAGCGTGTAGGTGGTGCGTAGGGGAGTATTTTGATATAGGACACTTGGGGTCGGAAATCTAAAATAAGGGTGCCAGAGCCAAATTTACCTTCTGGAATTTCGCGCCTGTAGGTAGGCAACCCAACCGGCCGGCGGTGCACACGGAGCGATCTCAGGCGGCGATGTGTGGCTGACACTTGATCAGAATTTTGTTTAAACCCACGAAATCCCGTCTGCAACGACGCGTATCAAGTGAATAAACACTATGGCAATAGTATAATAATAGTTGGCTAGATGTAGGAAGTGCATTGAGAACAACGGTGGCCACGTTGAACACTTGTAAACGTTATTGCTTTTGACTGTCGTTTTCCCTCCTTCCCTCCCATGTCGCTTCCTCGCGCTAACTCGCTCTGCATCGCTCCGCGCGAAACGTCGGTCGGTTGGGTTGCCTACATACAGGCGTGAAATTCCAGAAGATAAATTTGGTTCTGGCGCCCTTATTTTAGATTTCCGACCCCAAGTGTCCTATATCAAAATACTTCCCTAGGCACCCCCTATACGCTCCCAAACGGTGGCAGGTACTATAGGAATCACCCTGTATAATGCTTTGGGTAAGGAAAGCGGGACAGTTTTTTGGATTTTGTGCGAATTTGTTTACCTGAGTTTGTAGAGGATCGTGAGCTGTTTGTACCAAAATTTATGTACATTATTGTATTATTATTATTATGGTCGGTGTTTCTTGTGAGAACTCAGGTCTAGCCTGGTTAACTAATCGCACGGATTAAAATCAAGTAACGATTAGTGTCTGTGTCTGGTGAAGTTATGTAGGGTCCTTAAAAAAAAAATAAATAAATAAATAAATAAAAGATAAAAAAAATCACACACGTAATTCGTACTTAACCAACATACCTATTGATGGGCACAATAGCCAACGCTATCAGGAAAGAGGAAAACAAAACAAAACAAAAAAAAATCATTATAATAATTCCTGTAATTTTATTAAATGGAGTTTATTGTGTAAGTGTTTCTTTGGCTTTGCGTTTGGGTTGAATACGAGTGGGTTGTGATAACGTGGTGTGCCTGTGAAGAAGGAGTTTTGTGTTTTTTAATTGTATTTATGGTGTTTCTTTGTTCCTGAGGTCATATTTGTGAGGTTGCTTGGGTTTTTGGTGGAGATATTGCAGTATTTTGTGAGCCTGTGGTGCTGTTAAGGTTTTTGCGTTTCGGTTTTATACGAGTGGGTTGTTTCTGAGAAGAAGGAGTATTGTGTTTTTTAACTGTGCTAGGGCGTGTAACTTTATTGGATGGACCTGTCTTTGTAGTACATGTTGCGTTACTTGTATTTATGATGTTTCTTTGTTCTTGAGGTTGTATTTGTGAAGTTGCTTGGGTTTTTGGTGGAGATATTTTAGTATGTTGTGAGCCTGTAGTTCTGTTATTCTGTTATTATTATTATTATTATTATTATTATTATTATGTTATGTGGTTGTAAAGCAAATTAGGATTTACATTAAATCATTTACAACCACATAACAATAATTATTATTCGTATAAATAATATTTACTTGCACGTGACTCATGTGCAACGTATCTGACGGTTACTAACTACAGACTTTACAGAATCAGATCTCATCTACGTCATTTTAAGATAAATGTCAACAAGTGAAACTGGGATGATTGCTCCTGTCGGGGGCAATTTATTATACTTATACCGGTTAAATTTTATTACGACGGATTATAATCAGGAGATATGAGTACATCGTTGTTTTTACAAGGTTTGTTCGTCTCACAACTTAGTGCAATTCGTTTTGAAAATGTTTTCACACAACGTAAGTTTACACATGAAGCGCTTTTTGCAGAGATCGTATAGGTTTTCAAGATCAGCCCAATTTTGCCAACACATGCACGATTCAAATGACGCAAGGTAACGTCGTTGCTATAACTTTAGTAATGGGCGCGGTCACCAGACGAAGCGCTTCATGAGCGCTATCTAAAGGCGGAAATACTCTAACAAGGTTTCTCACGCTAGTTGCTGTCTGATATCACTGTCGAGGTGTAAAAATCAACGTACATCCGACTTACTGTGGTGTGTACACTGCTATCAGCCAGTATTTAGCGCGAGAAACCTTGCTAGAGTATTCTCGGCTTTAGGTAGCGCTCATGAAGCGCTTCGTCTGGTGAACGCACCCAATGTAATTTTCGTACTTCCGAGACTAAAGCCTAATTTACATTTATAAGTTTACTGGCGGAAAGTACTGTCGGCCAGTAAACTTGCCACGTGTAAATGCGCGGAAAGTGCCAGTTAAATAGAAATAGGGCATAAGCAAGTACTTTTCGCCAGTAAACTTGCCAAATGTAAATTAGGCTTAAAGTGACAACTTCACTCCATTATGACAAGGACTGAAGTGTCACTTTTTGTCCCTCCGGGATTAAATTTGGACGAAAATCCAGGAAAGATTAAATTACTAACAAGGCATTTTCATTATTAGGTTGTTTCACATTTTTTCTGCGGCACCACTTCTTAAACGCTTCGTACTGCTACTGATATAGTTTTTTGGACTTTGGTGGTAACAATTTTTCACATACTTCTGCTGCTCTTTTATCACTATCAAATACACCTTTGTCACAATTGTCACTCATTACCAAGCTTATGACACTAGCAATAATAGTTTCCAAATTATTTTTGTTACCATAGCATAGGGTTTGGTGTACCAACGCATCGTTTCTATGGTAACTTGTTATAAGCAGCGATTTTTCGATAGAACCTGGTAGAAATTTGTATACAGTTCCAATTTGACGTACTGAATATCATATTAAAAGTTCCCACTGCCACTTCATCCCTTTATTGGGGGTTGAATCCTGGACTTTCATCTTTGAAATGGTTGAAGAGCTTGTAAAAGTCGGTCACTATTTTTGCATCGTTAAATTTTTGAAAATGAGGCTACATTCGGCGACAATGACAACCAAATTGTGATGGACCAAAAATGTTGGAGATTAAATAACAAAATTTGGAAATTGGGAGTTAGGACCTATAACAAATTTCAAAGAGAGCACGTATTTACAAGAGATATAGTGGCTGCTGAACGCAAAAAAACAAATTACTCTTCACTCGATCTCGAATCAACTATCTTATTATTTTAAAAAGTGCTCGACTTTGAGGACTAATAGAAAACCATTCGGCGGATGTGAAAACGCGGTCAATTCTATTTTGGTTAGGCCACAACTTTTCAAAGGTACTTTAACACTAACATATGAGCGCTACCGACAGAAGTGCTCATTTTTTGTCTTCCACGCTACAGCGAACTTTAGAGCCGCATAAGAAGAACAGCATTATATTCAAAATGTAATTTTAGTGGCCACTTTTTTTAAATGAAAGTAATACCAGTTAGATTTTTTATACGTAGAGACATCAAATGTTCCATTTCGCTGATCAAATTCAAACAGCGAAGTATTTTTTCGTTGCTAAGAAGCAGAGAAGTAAACAAAATTCTCTGCCTTCATGTGTCATTTGAGGCAGTGAGCCTTCATTTTGTAAACCAATTTCAAATTGATGGCGGTTGTATCACTTAGCATCAATTCAGGCTACGACTCTCATAGCAGAGTTAATCATACGATACTGTATTTTGTACAATTCAAGATGGCGCACTTCTAAATGAGGTTAAAAAAATTTCGGTAGACCTTTGAATATTCTAAACCTAGTTTTTGAAAATTATACGATTTGTGCATAACGACCCATACATTTTCAGATCCCTTCAAAATGCTCCTGGACCTGAAGAAATTGGCCTTATATCAAAAGAGGCGGGGGCATATTTTAAATCTCTACTACCAACCCTAGTGAATGACTTCATCGATGCACCGTATTATAAAGATTGTCCGGAGGTTGCAAGTCAATGTAGAAAGATGTTAGAGTACAATCTGCCATACGGAAAGAAAGTTAATTCTTTCGGGGCGATAGCATTTTATACGTCAATGGAAGATCCAAATAAGTTAACCGAAGAAAATATTAGATTAGTCAATATCTTGGGTTGGTGTATACAGATGGTAAGTGTACGACATAATTCGTAATTTAGTTCTATTCGCCGAGTACCTAGTACAGGCATAAGATTTTACAAGATGATTTCAGGAGAAATTTCTCTCTAATTATAAAATATCTTATAAGATAATAAGATAATCTTATAATTAGAGAAAAAAAAAATTAAAAATGAAACATATGTGATGAAGTTCTCCATTTTCTGGTTCTGCTAAGATTTGAAGTTTTGAATATTATATATTATTATAATAAAAAACACAGTCGTGGTTCTTTTTAATATTCATAACTAAAAATGAAACACTGTCCTACTCATTGGCAGTACCTATCACTAGTGTGTAAAAAAATCAGCTTTCATCCAACCGTAATCTATAGTTATATCAGTAGAAAGTTTGTGAAAAACCGACCAAGAATTGTTAAGAGCTATTATCAACGTTTTCATTCGGTGTATAACTTATTTTCTCAAAGAAATTCTAAAAAAAACATTTGGAATTGGTAACGCAAGAAGTACGAAAGAGCCTTAAGTAACATGGCCTAAGACGGCAGACGGTCGATTTCGGCATACTCGGATTAGGCCAAAGTGGAACTCGGTGGGTTAAAATTTTGATCACTCTCGTTCAGTGGATTTCAAGCTAGCTCCCCATCAAAGCAAATGTGTAAGTGTTACTCATCAGAAGTCGTATGCGTTTGTGTCGCTTTTTTTCCCAGAAACCCTTGTTTGAAACTTTTATGGTAAAATGATAGCAACGGTAATGCGAGACTTTCATTAAAGCTCAACTTTTGTCAATAAAGAGAGGAATCAGACTGCGAATTGTACTTTCAAACGCTTTTTCACTTGAGTAGAAAATTTGGCAAAGAACGGGATGTGAGAAATAACTAAAAAACTCCGTTGCTTCCGTGTGAATAAGCTTACAGTTACAAATAATCCCCCCTTTGGGTTATTATTCCATAGGAAGACTGAAATCATATCGCGTGATCCTTTAGAACTGAGGGTCGTTTTTATAATAGACTGGTTCATTTTTCGAAGTTTCTCTGTCCTAGGAGCATATTCAGACAACATTTGGCCAACAAGGCTTTTTTTACTAATTGGTACCTGCTGAACATGAATATCGATGTTGGCACCTCGAAATCTGAACAGGAAGTCCAGAATTCAAGATGGCGCCCAATTTCCGAAAATGTTGATCTTTTCACTCATGCGACCGATTTTTTCGATCTAAAAACGAATTATAATGTTATTCCTGACGTACGTCACGATATAATAATAGTTAACTATTGTTTTAACAATAATGTAATAGTTTTTTTTTCACTACTAGCGTCTGATGACATGATTATAACCTTTTTTCCACTTGTAAAGTAGGCTTTCTCGGCATTTGTTCAAAGTGGTTAATAATGTGGACATTATTAACTAGCAGTCAATAATGAGAACTGTCACGCTGTCACTTTTAGAAAACACAACCCGAAATTTCGCTCAATAAACGTTTAGACAAGTTCTCTAAAATGAATAATTGCCACCATTCGCCATTTCCAGAGAAATTACATACCTAAAATTATCACATTTTGAAAAAATTCGAACGAAATTACTCTTTGAAAATATCTCAATGACAGAACAAAATACGGCCTGTTTGACTTGTACTTCTACGTACTTGATTGACATGTTAAATTAATAAACAAAAAATTCTGTCCAACCGTTTACTTTCTTATCAATATAATATGTTAATTTAGAGGACTTCAAGTGCTAGTAGTGAAAAAAATAGTATATAATAATAATAATAATAGCAATAATAATGAAAGCGCTTTTAAAGACCACGGAAGGATTTACAAACGACACTGGTATGCAATTCGGTATAAATAAATGTAAGATGCTTCACGTAGAAAAGGGAAAACACAAACAATACGATGTAACCGAAACGCTTAATAATGAGATACTAAGAAACATGGAACCACATGAGACATATAAATACCTAGGGTTTGAGCAAAACACAAGTATAAATCATTCATATTTTAAAACACAGCTCAAAAAGAATTATCGGCACAGATTAAACAACATCCTCAAATCCAGGTTGAACTCTAAAAACACTTCTAAGGCTATAAACACCTACGCCATACCACTCCTTACCTACTCATTCGGCATCATTAAGTGGTCAAACACTGACCTAAAGGAACTGAACCGAATAACAAGAACGAGATTGACGCAACACAGAAAACTTCATCCAAATTCATCTATAGAAAGGCAGACGATCAGCAGAAAAGAAGGTGGGAGGGGACTCGTTGACATTGAGACACTTCACCACACGCTAATACAGAACCTAAGGACATACTTTTACAGAAAACAGACACCCATTCATCAAGCCATAATTAAAATAGACCAAAACTTCACACCGCTCAACCTAACACAAGAAAACGTAGACGAGACACTTGACATAACAACGTCAGAACAAAAAAAGATCAAGTGGTCAGAAAAAATACTGCACGGTCAACACTTTGCACTAGTACAAGACATTCATATTGACAAAACACTAACGTACTCCTGGTTAACAGCGGGGAAATTATTTCCCGAAACAGAAGCCTTTATTATGGCAATACAAGACAGAGTAATAGCAACAAGAAATTACAGAAAGTACATCATAAAAGAACTTATCGACACAGATAAATGTAGAAAATGCCATGCATATCAAGAAACAATTGAACATATTACAGGAGGGTGTAAAGTAATTGCAGGCACCGACTACACGAATAGAGACAACACAGCAGCAAAAATCATACACCAAGAACTCGCACTAAAACACCAACTGATTCAAACACGCACACCATACTACAAGTATACACCGTTAAACATACTACATAGAAAACAACGAATACAAATTATACTGGGACAGGACATTACATACGGACAAGACAATCGCACATAACAGACCGGACATTACACTAATTAATAAAACCGCACACACAACACAGTTAATAGACATAGCCATCCCAAACGACGCTAATCTCATACACAAAGAGCAAGAAAAGATCATAAAGTATACTCCACTAGCAATAGAACTCAAAGAACTCTGGAAGCAAGAACAAGTAACAATAGTACCGGTCGTACTCTCAGTCACAGGACTCACAACAAAAACATTTACACATTACTTACAAGCACTACAGCTCAGCACACATATACACACAAACATACAGAAGGCCATATTACTAAACACGGCAAATATGGTCAGAAAGTTTCTCAACCAATGACACTAAACGCCACACATTACCACATGATGACTTGGTTAAGACCCGTCTCATGTGAAGCATACCACCATGAGTGAGTAAAAAACGACGATAATAATAATAATAATAATAGAGATTTATTAAATAGAATATAAAACAAAAAAACAAAAAAGAGAGCTTCCAAACTAAAATAATCACTAAAATACAATATTCTATTTAAAAGGGACAAGATATCGGCAAGCCGGTTTGCAATCTCGCCCTAAGAGGTCGAAAAAGTGTAAATTAATTAGAGTGCTATAATTATACAATGTTCCTAAAAATAAATAAATATTTCTTATACAGACATTTGTTGTGACTGCAAACATAACAGCTTCTTCTTCATAGTTCTCCTAAATGAATTAATGTTATTGGACGTTGTAAAATCAATCATATTAGTATTCAGTATGTTTGATGCTATGTATTCAAATGAACTTTCAAATTTTTGGCTTACATGAGCTGGTATATTGTAGCGTTGAACATGTCTTAGATCGCGTGTGTGTAATTCTTGTCTAGTTTGTAGTAATTCGAATAGATAAGTTGGTGTAAGGGAATTGATTATAGTATAAATAGTGCAAGTATACATGAGATAGAAGCGATGTTCTAGTTTAAGATGTCCTAAGCTAACATAATGGGGTGTTATATGGTCCTGTTTACTAATTTTATAAGCAAAACGTAAGCAACAATTTTGCAGAACTTGCAATTTATGTTTCAATTTAGCTGTCAATAATGGAAAATACACACTAGAACAATAATCTAGATTACTTAAAACTAAGGTATTCATCAAGTTCCATTTTGTTTTTGCAGGTAGAAGGTCTTTAAATTTATACATGTAGGAAAATTTGGCATATCCTTGGCTACACTTTTTGGTGATATGAGATTCAAATGTTAGATGTTGATCAAGGAAGATACCCAGATTTTTTACTGTAGGGTTAAAGGGTATTACGGTGCCACTTATCAAAACACGATTTGTCACTAATGATAAGGCTTTTTGACACATAGTTTTGGAACCACAACACATAAGTTCACATTTTTTTATGTTTAAACTCAAACCATTGTTACTTGACCAATTCGCAACGCACTTTAAATTAATGTTTAAGATCTCGATCGCGGTATTAATGTCTTCTGGTAGGCAAGAAAGATAAAGCTGCGTGTCGTCAGCATATAAGTGGAGGTTGACGTCAGGTGTAGTGCATAATGTCAGATCCGATGTAAACAGACAGAACAGGATTGGGCCAAGTAGACTCCCCTGTGGAACTCCTCTAGGTACATAGACTAGATCCGATAGGTGATGTTGAAGTTTTACCCTTTGGGTACGACGAGATATATACCACGGTAGAGAAGTCTATTATTGTCTTCGCACCTTACACCCCTCGGCGCAAGCGCCTCAAGATGTAATCTTGGTGCTGAGGCAATAATACTGGACTTCTCTACCTCGATATATAATGTACTATTTTAGCGGCAGGATGCGTAAAATTAAGAATTTCGAAATTCCTAGCTCTCCTTGCCAAAAGGAGGACTTGCAAAACGATTGTTTCTAGTAATCCTGACACATATAAGTATTCCCGACATGCGTTTATATTGCATAATTCTCCTTATTTTGACAACTACAATCTTTCGAATTTTACGTTAATTTTTAAATGAAAAAAATGAAGGAGTTCAACTAAACTGCGGTGTTTCGGAAGATTCTTATTTTGCTACGTATTAATTACCGTTACTCAGGATATATTATTATTATTATTAAAGTATGAACGCATATAGAAAAGTGAAA